AGGGCTGTGACGGTTTGCCCCGAGCCGGGGGCCGAGGGCAGCCCGACCCGGGCAGAGGGCCGTGACGGCTCACCCCAGGCAGAGGGCCGTGACGGCTCACCCCAGGCAGAGGGCCGAGGGCAGCCCGCCCCGGGCAGAGGGCCGCGATGGCTCACCCCGGGCCGGGGGCCAAGGGCAGGCCATCCCGAGCACGGCAACACCCCCTAGGAGCTGACTGGTACACTCCCCCTCCAATTACCCCTATCCCAGTCTGGTCCCCTTGCCTGACTGAGGACTCTGTCCTTTCCCCACTTATTTGATTCCATCTCCTCTCTGATCTTTGTTTTCTTGTTGAAGTATAAACCATATTGAAAACTATAGTCTTTAATCTTCTTCAGTAGGGACTTCAAGTCCTCTTCACTTTCAACTTGCAATGTGTCATTTGTATATCACAAGTTGTTGATAAGTCTTCTTCCAACCCCAATGCCATATTCTTTTTCATATACTCATGTAATCTTGAGTCTGACTTCTCAGATTATTTGCTAATCGTATAGCTTGAGTAAGTATGATGAAAGGATACAAGCTTTTTAAAAAATTTTTTAAAATTTTATTATTTTGTGTGTGTACCGTCAAATCGGATCTGACTGGTACTGTCTAATCAGATCTGACTGGTACAGGAGAACATTGCCCCTTCTTCTCCAGCAGAGCATCTGGTGGATTCGAACCACATTCCTCTGAGATTGCTGTGCAGCTTCTTGCCACTAGGCCACCAGAGCTCTCTGAAAGGATACAATCTTGACACATACCTTTCCGTACATCAAACCATTCAGTATTCCTTGGTTCTGTTTGAATGAAGCCAAATTGAATCATACAGAGTTTTAGACATTTTTGGTTATATCTACAAAGTTATATGAAATTATATAGCCACATGTGGTTATATACAACTTAAGGATAAGAACCAGAATCAGCCAAAGCCAGTCCCCTTAGAGGTGAAGGTCAAACATACCTCTACTCTTCAAACTTTTTATTAATTCTCACACAAGCCATCTCCCTAAGGCAATCTCTAGTTCTATGCTATTGTTGTTGTGGCCGGACCCATTAGCTAACCCTGTGGTCGGGTTTTAGACTCAGTAAATTGCACAGGAGGAGACTGCCCATCTTCCTCCCACAGAGCAGCTGGCGGGTTCAAACCATGGAGTGCCTACAGGATTATAGCACAACTTCTTACCACGAGCCTACCAGGGCTCCCTAGCTTTATTCTAGGTTTGATAATCTGTGCAATGGCCACATAGAATTCAGAGAACAAACTTACAGGTAACTAGTTCATTAAGAAAGTAACAGGCTACAGGTATGGATCAGGATCAGGAAGCACATAGACAAAATCTGGAAGACTTGACCAAGGAAGAGACTACATCTCCTCCTTCTTCAGTCCAAGACAAGACAGCTCTCGGAGCTCCTCTTCACCACACAAGCAGACGGGCCCTTCTCTCTGCCACGCAAGTCTCATCTTTTTTTCTCTTGACTGTTGCTACTATGGGTGTTGATTGCAGATCCAAGTGAGATGAAAGTGTTGACAAGTTCAATCTTTCTTCTCCATCTATCATAATATTGTCTATTGGGCTAGTTGTGAGGATATGTGTCTTCTTGATGTTCACATGTAATCCTCAGACTGTGAAAATTATCAATGTCATTAATATCACATGCAAGTAGAATCTTGCTGAAGATTATTAAAACGTGACTGGAGCAGTACACTGACAGGGAACAGCCAGAAAGTCAAGCTGGATTCAGAAGAGGCTGTGGCACAAGGGATATCATTGCTGACGTCAGATGGATCTTAACTAAAAGCAGAGACTGTGTCATAAAGATGTTTACCTGTGTTTTATTGACCATGCAAAACCATCCGACTGTGTGGATCATAACAATTTTTCATTAATGTTGAGAAGACTGAGAATCCTAAAACACTTAATTGCACTCATGCAAAACTTATAAATAAAGCAAGAAACAGTTGTACAAACAGAGCAAGGAAGACTACATGGTTTACAGTCAGGAATGGCGTTCGTCAGGTCTGTATCCTTTCCCCATATGTACTCAGCAAATCATTTGAGGAGCTCGACTATATGACGAAGAACTTGGCATCAGGATCAGAGAAAGACTGATTAACAAACTGAGTTATGCAGATGACACAACCTTGCTTACAGAAAGTGAAGAAGACATGAAGCACTTACTGTAGACCAAAGCCTATAGCCTTCACCAAGGGTTATATTTTAGCATCCAAAAAATTAACAGACGAGAGGTAAATGTGTGGGTGCCTGTGTGCACACATATGCATGACAAAGAGCCTTGGTAGAACAGGGCTTAAAATGCTTGACTAACAGAAAGCCCAGGGATTTGAAAGTATGTGTCATTCCTTGGGAGAAAAATGAGATGGTCTAAAGACTGCAGCCTTGGAAAGCTATGGGGCTGTTACTCCACCCCAGGGGAAACTTTCTCTTTTCTGTTTTGGTTAGGTGCTATTGACGACTCAGAGTGACCCTGTGAACAACAGATTAAAACTCTACCCTATCTTGCCTCATCCTCACAATCTCCATTACCTTCCAATTCTTTGTTACAGTCCCTGTGTCTGTCCATCTCACTGAAGGTCTTCCTCATTTATGCTAATGCTCTCCCGCTCCCAGCATGCAGTCTTCCCCCAAGTACTGCCTCCTCCTGTTGACGTGCCCAGTGACATGAAGCGTGTGAGACACAGTTCCACCATCCTTCCCTCTAAGGGAGACCCTGGTTGCATTTCCTGTCCTAGAATGTTGCTTTGAGTTGGAACCCTCTTAAGGGCACCAGGTTTTGGGTCTTACTGCTGTCTAGACCTGGGTAGGGGTGCTGCCACCTGCTGGTCCTCATTGCTCCCTTCCATAAAGAGCTAAGAATCTGTGGTCAACTGCACTTAGTCGCTTTCCCACATCTTGAGCAAATGTGCTTGCATCCTGGCTGTGTTCCTGAGTCAGCTCTGTCTGGGGCAGCATGTGAGTCTCAGTGTTCAAACTTCTTCTCCTTCCCCTGCTGGCAGCATGCCTCCTGCTCCAAGGGACCAGGCTGGGGTTGGCCCTGGTGTGCAAGTTCTGCTGTGTGTGACAAGCCCTGGCAAGTCTGTCCCGGAGTCTGGGTTCACATTTCCCTCTGCAGCCTGCGTCCCGCATCCAGCATTTGTACTGGGTCACGCAACAAGCAAGGCGTGCACAGACAGGGGCCGATTTGTGCTTATTTTGGCATGTGAAACAGTTCAGTTAGTCTCCACAGAGCTTGCTGGCGATCCAGCCCTGCCCACGACTCTCTCAGGCCGCCCTTGGCCACCCATGAACAGGTAGGACACCAGTCACCCTCCTGCCTGTCTGTCACCTGCAACTTCTCTACTGTTTGTAATTTCTACACGTCCCTCTAACTTCTCCTCCCTCCCCTTCCCCTACCTGCTTGTGCACTCTGCACAAGCCCTTTGGCACAAGGTGGGATGTTTGAAACCCCCAGCTCTTCTGCAGCAAAGAGGAGGCCATGTGCTTTGGACACCCTGTGGACAGTGTGCTGTGTCCCACAGGGTCACTATGAGTTAGAATTTGATTGGAGCAGCTTCTGCCCCAGTTTGTGCTGCCTTTTCTCATCTCCCTCTCTTTTATCTCCTGCTCCCATACTTCTCCCTCATCGTGGTCTGTCTTCTCCCTTCACCCCTCCCTCACTGCCCCCTCAACCCTGCCCCCTCCTCTCCCTCCCTTTGTCTCTGTTCCCTCTTCTTCCTTCACCTCTCTCCCTTTTCTCCATCTCTCTCCCTCTCCACTTGTCCCTCCCTCACCACCTTTCTCTTCCCTCCTCTCTCTCTGCTCCTCCTTCCTTCTTTAGCCCTCCCTCTCCCCTCCCTCTGGGAATGTTGCTAGAAGAGGCTAGGCCTTGGAAGGATGCATCAGGCTTGGAAAGGTGAAGAGTCATTGAAGGATAGGGACTCTCTCGATGAGATGGAATGACAGTGACTGCAGCAATGGGCTCAAGTGTGCCAGAGATGATGAGCATGGCCCAGGGAAGGCCGGGGTGCCGAGATGTGAGGATAGCCCTGGGCAGAGTAGGGGGCAGAGATGATGAGGTTGGCCCAGGGCAGGACAGGGGGCAGGTCCAGGGTTCACAAGCTCTCTGTGAGTCTCCTGACACATAACAGTAGCTCCTTTCTTTTCTTCCCCGCCCCCCTACCCCTTGCCCTTGGCTTTCACACTCCTCCCCTCCCACCCTTCCCTGGTCAGCTCATGGGGCCCCAAGAGTGCAGAATAGAACTTTCCCAGAGGGTTTTCAAGTTCAACGCCTCACCACTTGTAGTCTCCAGAGACCCTTTCCAAAGGGGCTGAAATCAGGAACATCCTCGGGAGCTCCGTTCTTTGTAACACATAGGATGTCTTGGGTCAGAGTTTGCTCCATAATCCCTAACACCATATTGGAGAGGATAGCTACATGAGGATTAGATTTGATTGTAGGTAACAGAAATCCTACAAACAGCAATAGCTTCCTTAAGAGACAGATATGGTTGGAAAGTTCTTTCTCCTCCAGAGGACAGTGTTGTGAAGTCTTGACTCTCTTATAGTAAAACTTCCTTTCTTCTTGGAGGAAAGTTGTAAAGAAAGTCAAGGCTCACTGACAGCTCTTTACCCTGGACCTCCCTGGTGAAGTGGCATCCAGGGTGCCCAGGGCGAAAGGCAGAGGGGTGCCAAGCATGCCCTCACACTCGCCAGACTTCTCTGGAGATAGGTGTGAGCTATGTGATAAATAAATACAGACGCTAGGCACAAACGGAAAAAATAACTGATTGGCCCAAATTAGTTGTGTGTTGGAAGCAGTTAAATATTAGCTTAGGTTTCTTTCATATCATAGGGCAGAATTCAGAGCCAAGGAGAGGTGGGCTGGGCTTGGACTCGTTTAGGAAGGATTGCTGAAGGTTTGTGAACTAGGTGTAGGCTAATCATTTCCATTTTCATTTTATCCTCCCTCCCTCCAGCATGGCCTACCTTCAAGCATTTCAGAAGGCTTCCGCAGGGCTGTTCTTGTTAGCACTGTGGGGTGTGGTTGGAGGTGAGAAGCTGCTGGTTGTTCCCCAGGATGGAAGTCACTGGCTTAGTATGAAGGAGATCGTTGAGCTTCTCAGCCAGAGGGGCCATGACATTGTGGTGGTGGTGCCGGAGGTGAACTTGCTTCTGAAGGAATCCAGACACTACACCAGGAGAGTCTACCCAGTGCCCCACACTGTGGACGAGCTGAAGGAGCGTTTCCGCTCTTTTGGAAACAGCCACTTTGCTGAGAGGTCTTTCCTGAGTGGCCCTCAGACAGAGTACAGAAACAACATGATTGTTGTTGACATGTTCTTCACCACCTGTGAGAGCCTCCTGAAGGACTTGGAGACCCTGAAGTTCCTCAGGGAGAGTGAGTTTGATGCCCTTTTTACTGACCCAGCCTTACCTTGTGGTGTGATCCTGGCTGAGTATCTGGGCCTGCCCTCCGTGTACCTCTTTCGGGGTTTCCCATGTACCCTGGAGTACACATTCAGTGGGAGCCCAAACCCTGTGTCCTACATCCCCAGATTCTACACTCAGTTCTCTGACCACATGACTTTCCCCCAACGGGTGGCCAACTTTCTCATGAATTTGTTGGAGTTCCCCCTACTTTACCTTCTGTATGGGAAGTACCAAGACCTTGCCTCGAATCTCCTCAAGAGAGATGTGGACTTGGGTGCCTTGTACAAGAAGGCCTCCATATGGCTGTTAAGATATGACTTTGTGTTTGAGTATCCCAGGCCAGCCATGCCCCACATGGTCTTCATTGGAGGGACCAACTGCAAGGAGGGACAACGTCTACCTCAGGTTGGTGCTCGTATCTGTTTTCAGTTGTCTTATTTCTCAGAAAGTAGACAGAAATCATTTCTGTGTGCTTGGTTTCCTTTCACTCAACGTCATCTTGCGTCTGCTGTGACCTGGGAAGGCTGTCTAAGGAAATGACGGGCTTCCTTCTTATAATGGAGAAAGGAGAAGTAGAGTGGGCAAATGCGACATCTGAGGCTGAAGTGATGTAGAAGATTTAAAGGATGCCATAGTTGGTGCTAGGATATCTGGGAAGAGTCCCAGAATCATAGAATGTGCCACACGTTCTGTTGAGAGGACAGAGGAGAAGGTTTGATCAAAGGATCGATGGGAAGACAGCCTAAGTGAGAAATCCTGTTCTAACTCTGTCTCATGCCCTTTCTGCCCTAAGCCAAGAGTTGGCAAATTGCCTGTGGATCAGTTTAGCCTTCACATACTCTTTGATGTTGGGTGCTGACCTCTGATTTTCCCAGAGTTTCTTTTCCTACTCTGTGGGGGTTGAGTATATCTGATCTGGCACTCAGAGCTGTGAAAGTAGACTTTCCTTCATTCTCGAAAGAGTAGGCGTTGGCAATTCCTAGCAGGACCTTGGAGTGATCTAGGAGGTTTTTTGTTTGTTTGTTTTGGAGCTCCAGAGTTCTTTTAGTCCCTATAGAGCATTCTGCACTTTGGTGATCCACCTTTAGACTCCACTGTTGGGAGTGTTTTGTAGAAGTTTGTTTTCAGTTTAGCAAGCAACAGTTACTAATTAGGGCAAAGGTAGTCACCTCCCAAATAGATCCTAATGGAGGTATGCCTCACTGTTATTAAAGCCTGACCTGTAGGTAGAATGCTGACTGAGTATATAAGTGTCACTCAAGATGCCAACTATAAGAGGAGAAGAGACAGATCCAAACTGACTATCCAGGAAGGCTATTGGTTTCAGAAGCCTAAGACTAGGTGCATGGAAAATCAAACAGAGTGCTAATTATGTCAGCAGTCTTCACTGCAGCAACCTTCTCCCTCCTTTTAAAATTATTATTCATTTTAATGAAAATTCACAGAGATGTTGGATTGCCATTCATTCATTGTGGCACTTTTCTCCCTGTCCACCTCTCTTCTCCAGTTCATTGTTTGTTTGTTTTAAATCATAGTAGGAAACATTTTTATTCTTTAAAGCAATTAAGAAAAAGTGGAAAAAAACCCCTCTGTACTTGGTTGGTAATTACACTGGTCATTATCAGAATTATATATGCTTGTAGGAAAAACAAACCCCATTTCTTTCTGAGATGCTTCTCACTGGATGGCTTGCAGCGACCTTTTGTAACAGCCTGACAATGAATAACCAGATGGGAAAGAGGGTGTCATGCTCTGGTGGGAGCCTTATGGAAGTTGGCCTTGTTGTTATTGGTTTCTGGGTAGACCACAGGCCATGAGGGCAGGTTTCACTAAAGGTTCCTGCTCCTAACAGCGATCTCAACCGGCAGACCTCAGTGCTAATTTGAATACTGTCGACCAAATTGCTTGGGAAACTTCCCCCACTCCATTTTATTACTGCATTTTAATCAGTAGAATGGGGCAGAACACTTTTCTCCCTTTATCCTTCTTTTCTTTTAACTACTACTTCATTCTTTAAAAACTTACTGATAGATCTTCACAAATACTGCTTATCATATTATACCCAGATCATTTGGAAAAAACAATCAACTCTCAAACATAGGCACCAATGAAAACAATATCACATTACAGTGTCTGCAAAAAGCCATGGGAGTAATTGAGTAATAAGGACATCTCTTATAAAAAGAAACGAGAAGGTTCAGAAGGTGAATCTGCATAGAGTTTTAGCTTCATAGGGGTATAGGCACATTTAAACTAGGCTTAGGTAAAAATATTTTTTGTTGCTATAACTACCTGTTTACGTACTGTTTTAGAGTTGATTCCCACCCACTCTAAGATACAGGACAGAGAACTACTCCACAGGCTTTTCAAGGCTGCATTTTTTTCAATATCTAAACAGTAGTGCTTTATAGATAAAAGGTTAATTTTTTCTTTCTGTTCACATACTATTTATTAATTTTTTTATTGGGAAAAACATATTGGGGGTACAAGGAGGTGAGGGTCTGGGGCAGAAGGGTGAGGATGGGCCAGGATGCAGTTGCAGAGCTGCACAGTTTGGTCGGTGGGGGGAGCAGGTGAAGGAAATGTTGAGGGTCCAGTGGGGACCAGATGCTACAGAGGAATGACAAGCATTTTCCAATGGTAATTAAACCAACTGTCTTATTGATTTAGGAATTGGATGCCGACTCTCTGGCTTCTTCATGCTGAACAGGGGCGTAGATGTAAAGGGGGGAAGGGAGGATGCTTTATCACCTTACTGGTGGTCTTGGGTTACAGCTGCTTGCCTTCTTGCTCTGTTAGAAGATATTTTCCTGTCATTTGCTCCCCTCTGGACTACAAAGTGTTTTCCCAGGTGGGTCCAGTGGGGATGGCTGGTTGAACCCAGAGGCTCCATCCTCCTTTGCTTCCTTAGCTGTCAGTTGTATTTCCTTTTTGTCACTGGCACTGGGTTCAGGGTCAATTCTGGAGTAAAACTCAGAGTTAAGGTTACCTACAGGAAAGGGAGCAAACCTACAGAGAACAAACTTGTGAGTTACAAATAGAAGGGCTTTGAGGGTGCTGCTTTCAGGTTTACTGGGTGGGGGGAGGGTGGCAGAAGGTGGCCTAGGTAACATTCTCTGGATACCTTAGGCATTCTTTTTTTTTTCTTCTCCTTCCCCACCCAGGGGTCAGATGGCACAATCTGGGGACTGAGGAGCTCGCCCTGAGGGCCACAACGGCTCGCCCCGAGCCGGGGGCCAAGGGCAGCCCATCCCGAGCAGGGCAACACCTCCCAGGTGCTGGCTGGTATACTCCCCCTCCAATTTCCCCTACCCCAGTCTGGTCCCCTCGCCTGACTGAGGACTCTGTGGTCAGGGATAGTGTTTCCAATTCCAGCACTGCCACTTTAACCCCCCCCCCCCATAAGTGGTCCTACTATATTTTGAATTAAGTGTCACTGCCCTCCCCCTTTATATGTGATAAAGGGCATCTGAGAATTGTGAACAGACTCCCCCCAGGTCTAACCATCTTTTGGCAGAAGCATTCAACAGAACAAAATACGTGGTGCATTTAGGATGTGGGTCCTCTTGTGCATGCTGCCACTGTTAAGATCATCAGACTCACAGTGACTTTCAGCAATCCATTGTATAGGTAATCATCTTCTTTGGCCTGTCCAAGGAAACCCAAACCTGCAGATGGCAGGCATGCATACCATCCCCCACCTCCTATGCAGGCGGCCTGTGGGGCGCGAGTGCCCCCAGGGCGGGAGGCCGGTGGGAGGCGCACGGCCCCCCCAGCGCGAGTGGCCATTGGGGGCGTGCCCCTCCACCCCACCACACGGGCACTTGGCGGGTGTGCGGCCCCTCTTGTGCGGGTGGCTGGCAGGCACCCACTTCCCGCACAGCTGCCATCCTGGCTCCAGGAATTCTCTCCAGAACACGTCCACCTTGCGGCAGTGTGGTGGCTTCGCTGTACCAGCCTTGAGGAGGGCAGGTGCCCAGCATCCATCCTGGGTGAGGGAATCCATTTGTTCAGGCTGTGGAAGCCTCATGGAGCTGCAGCGGCTGTTCGGTGTGGCGCGGGCTCTGCAGGGTGGTGGTGGTGGTGGTGGTGGTGGGAGCCACGAGTCTCACCCATTCCTCCTTGGGAATCCTTGAATTCCTGTTGTTGAGCCTCGATCTTCACTGAGGGCCAGTCATCAACTGTTTAAGTGTTCAATTATCAATAAGCCGAAGTCTGTGGAAGACCATAATGGCCCTGCTTTAAGTGGTTCACTGCTCCCGCAGCTCACCACGCTGTCTCTGCCTCCGCCGCCATCTTGGATCTAGGTCTAAAAGGTTAATTTTAATGAATACAAAATTGGTGTGTAAAGTAAGTGTTTTCAAAACAGGTTTCTATAGGTACAGAACCTTTTAGCAATAGTGGTTATGTGCCAGGTGAAGTCTAGCGTTGGGCAGCCAGGGTGAATGTAGGTCCTCTCAGCCACTAGGGTAACAGTTTGTCCCCACGTATTTTGTCCTAAACACACAAGGTTTATACTAACCATTTGCAAAAGTTTTTCTTCCTCTCACTCTTTTAGTTACTCTGTTGTTGTTGCTGTTAGGTACCAGCAAGTAGGACCCATAATCAAGGCTGCATTTTTATAAACTCAATTTGCTACATCTTTTCCCAAAGGAGCACCTGATAGGCTAGAACTGTTGTCCTTTCTATTAGTAACCAAGTACTCTAACCATGCCCCATTGTTGTTGTTGTTGTTGTTGATGGCCATCGAGTTGAGCACGACTCATAGCGATTCTATGAAGAAAAGGCCTGAAGCTTTTCTATAACTGTTGTCATTTATGTTTAGGAATAATATTTTTTTAAAACACTGCATACGAATTTTATCAATAGTCATTTTGGTGTCACCTGCTTTGCCCATGTCAGATAGTGTGGCCGTTATCCTCGAGATGCCCCTGGTCCAACCAGTGCAAAAATGTGCTGAATAATCTGACTGTTCAGTCCACATTGTCACACTGAGCACAGAGCAGAGGCCAAACAAAGCTACTCCTGTTTGACAATCAAGAAGAAGTCACCATCAATTATCATCCTCATGTGCAAATCACTGGTGAGGAGTCTTCATTTCCAGCCATATATAGGCAGGCACATGCTTTTATGGACTAGATTTTCTCCCTGGGTTTCTTCCATAGACCATATCACACAGGTTTCTGTTACAAGCAGCAAATTGCTCTGGGCGGCTGTCAGCTACACAATGAAACCTGTGGTCCTGATGGGCTTTCTTCCTCTGTGTGCGTGTCTTCTGCTGATACCTGGCTGCGCTGGAGTGGGCAAGCTGCTGATTATACCCATGGATGGCAGGCACTGGCTCAGTATGCGTGTCGTGCTGGAGAAACTGAGGCAGAGAGGGCACAAGTTGGTGATAGTCATGCCCGAGGTAACTTGGCACCTGGAAAAATCCAAGTTCTCAGTAAAGACTTACTCAACTTCTTACACTCTGGAGGATTAGAATTGTGAGTTCTTGCTTTTTGCCAATTCTCAATGGAAAACTAAAGACTCAAGCTTATTGTCTTTATCAATGAGTCCAGCCAATGTTGTGTTTGAATATCTTTTTTCACATTGTAGGTGTTTGTTTAATGACAAGAAGTTGGTAGAGATTATAAGGGACTGTTCTTTTGATGCAGTGTTTTTAGATCCTTTTGATCTGTGTGGCTTAATTGTTTCCAAATATTTTTCTCTCCCATCTGTGGTCTTCACCAGGGGGGTACATTGTCATTTTCTTGAAGAAGGCACACAGGTGCCCAGTCCTGTTTCTTATGTTCCCAGGTTTCTCTCAGGGTTCTCTGATACCATGACTTTCTGGGAAAGGGCAAGAAACCAAGTTTCTCATTTGGAGGAGCAAGCACTTTGCCACTATTTTTTCACAAGTGTTTTACAAATTGATTTTGAGATTTTGCAACAGCCAGCCACTGCTTATGACCTCTACTGCCACACATCCATTTGGTTGTTATGAACTGACTTTGTTTTTGACTACCCCAAACCTGTGACGCCTGACATGGTCTTCCTTGGAAGCATCCACTGTGAGCAAAGAAAGCCTCTGAGCCAGGTAAGGTGCCTCTCCTTGAGTCCATCATGGACAATCTGGGGATTGGCATGAAAAATGGACTTTAAAATTTGCCATTGCATTTGCTATTTGTAAATTCCTTCTTGTTCAATGATGATCTATTTTATGCCTACTCCTCTAACTTGGTTGGATGTATTCAGTAAAGTGGTTCCTTTTGATGTGTTGACTTTTACTATCATTGAGTTGGCTACAACCCATGGAGATCCCATGAACAACTCATCAGAACCTGTGACAACTCACTGTCTCTGCCATGTTCAATCCCATTGTTTCATCTGTCTCATCCCAATCAGTCTCATTTAAGGTCTTTTGCATCTTACATTGAAGGTCTCTCCTTTTAAATTTTTCAGAACAATGTCTTTTCCCAAGGACTTGACCATTTTGACAACATGCCAGATATGTGAGACAAAGTATACTTATTTATAACATATCTAATAATTGTGATTTGAAAACTACTGAAAAACGTTGTAGGGAATGATATGGACTCTTTGCCAGATCCTGTGGCACCCTCTATATGAAAATGCTCTGAAATCAGGTAGAAATTGAGAGCAGGGTTACAACTAAATGCTTCCAATTTGGCCACATGTTGAGTAGACTAGACTAGGAGATGACCAGTACCCAATTTCTTTCTGGTTGATCCTGGCTCACAGTGACCTCATTGGTGTCAGGATAGGTCTGTGGCTTCCCTAGGCTTTCAGTCGCTATGACCTTGAGCAAGTGGACAGCTAAGCCTTTCTCCTGAGGTGCTTCTATGTGTACTCGAACCTCCAGATTTTGGTGAGTTTAGAACTCGTCATACAGGGACACTGGGTAATGTAGAGGAAGCTAGAGGAAGTCTGATGCTTTGCGGAACATCTCTGTGGGAACTGTCTGAACACAGGGCATTGCTGTCCACAGACACAGATGAGAAGAAGGAAGGGAGAGGGCTTCTGCTCATAGGCACCTGCTTGTCCACACTTGTTGTTATTGACAATGCAGCTAGTATGTCCCATTCGGGCTCCCTTACTCTTTGCTCTGGAGCTGGCAGGAGCATGGCTTGGTTATCTGCCTCCTTTATGGTACCCCTCTTACACTGTGCCTTCTTCCTGTCTCTCTCAGAGTCTAGATCTTTATTCCTCCGTCAATTATGGCACTTTCTGAGAAGCACCTAGGCATCATCTGCCCACTCTTCTCCTTCTAGCATCTGCACCCATGGTTGGGCCCAGTTACTCCCCAAAATATCTCAGTACTGTCCACTGCTTTGAGGGCACCAGACTCATAGAGGTTAAGAGACATAGGCAACCCTTTTATAAGTGAGGTGTATCCAGGATAGAAGATACATAACATATACAACCAGATAGGGTTTTAGATATTTTAGGGACAAGAACCAGGATAGCCTAAAGGTGATCTCCCAGAGCTGGAGGGCCGACACATTCTCTGGCCTTTCCATCAATGCTCACGCAAGCTGCGCCGCTTATTCCTCACCTGGCTTAATGATTTGCTCTCCGGCCACCCAGGACTCACAGACCATACTTAGAGTTAAGTGACATTTTAAGGCAGTAACAGGATACAACTCAGGAACAACATCAACAGGATGAGGAAATATGGAGGCAAAGTCTGGAAGACGCCTCTGTTGCTGTTGCTAGGTTCCATCAAGTCACCTATGAGTCGTGGTGACTCTATGAACAACAGATCAGAAATCGGCGCTATCCTGTGCCGTCCTCACGAGCTCTTCTGTGCCGAAGCCCACTGTTACAGTCACTGTGCCAGTCCATCCAGATAAAGGTTTCTCCTCCCCTTCTCTGACTCGCTACCTTTTCTATTAATGATGTCTTTCTCCAAGGACTGGCCCTTTCTGACAACATGCCCGACTCTCCTGTGCTGTTGTGTGCCATTAAGTGTTGTATGATCTTCTATTATGTGACTGTACCATGGTTTCCTTAGCCATTTTTCCATTGATGGACACGTAGGTTTTCCCCACCTCTTTGCTGATGTAGACAATGCTGCAGTGAAAGTGTGTATATCTGTCTATCTGTGCCACAGCTCTTACTTCTTTGGAGCATATAACTAGTGCTGAGATTGCGGAGTGAAACAGTGCTTCTACTCTCAACACTCTGAGACTCTCTTAGTGCTTAATAGGTCCCAATATTTTTTGCAAAGATAGCGTGACTCATCACAGTAAGTGGGTCAACGTCCTGCAGAACACCCCACGGCCTGGTCTGTCTGCGTGCTCGCCTGCGGATGTGTAATTTGTTCCGCCACACTGAAAGTCAGCAAGTTTGTTTGTTTTCAGTTGTCCTTGAGTTGGATTGACTCACAAGGGTCAGAAAATGTTGCCCACTCCTGTGCTGCTTGGACGATTGCTGGGATGTTTGGGTTCATTGCCGTGGAGTCGGTAGAGGTTTGGCTGATTCGTGTTCATATTTTTTGACAAGAACTGTCCACTTACAGAGTTATATGTGGTTCACGGTGGATTCCATGAGAAGGGACCCATATCTGGTGTTTTACCTTTAGTGATACTGATATTGTGTGGAGTGTGTGGTAACATTGGGTCTGTGAGTGAACCAGTAGTTTATTTGCCTTAAGGTTCTGAGAGACCAAAGAAAGGGCCTGACAATTCCATGTTGTTAATAAAGGAGTTTTTTTTTTTTTTAAAGTGGCTGCTTACTGAGAGGAAGCTCTGGGCAACAGCAGTTACAGACAAGAGTCCCTGGTTTCCTGAGAAGGACACAGGCGATCTTATAGCTTTGGCAAGGAAAGGTGGTTTAGGGCCAGTGGCTCCATATCCTCAAGCCACTCCAGCAGGTATTACCTGACGTTGATGCAGCAAACAGAAGTGAATTTGCTACAAGCAAGCATATACTCTGGTGCACGGCCCAGGTGGTGGCTA